ACAGTAAAAGAAGGCGTGAACGACAGTAGGCATGAACGACAGTAAAAGAAGGCGTGAACGACAGTAGGCATGAACAACAGTAAAAGAAGGCGTGAACGACAGTAAATCTTTTCATTAGTAACATGTAGAGCGAGAATAGTGTAGACGTATAAGAAAAATAATAAATATATAACTAGAGCACTCGGAGAGCACAGACCTCCGCCAAGGCAGCTCAATTCTGTGACTGTGAAAATTTTTATTAATTAATTAATTAAATAATTAATTGGATCCGGATGACGACCAAAATGTAATCAATTCTAAGTTACCCGATTTCTAACGTATCCTGAAAATTTTATTAATTTATTAATTTATTAATTTATTAATTGGATCCGGATCACCACCAATATGTAATCAATTCTAAGTTACCCCATTTCTGACCTATCCTGAAAATGTTATTAATTAATTAATTGGATCGGATCACCACCAAAATCTAATCAGTTCTAAGTTAGCCCATTTCTGACCTATCCTGAAAAGTTTATGACAATCGGTTCATAACTTTTTCAGTTAGGCTGTACACAAAGAAACCCACAAACCAACAAACGCACGCCGATGAAAACATAACCTCCTGCCAACCCCTTGGCGGAGTTAATAAAAACTTCCGTGGCCGGAGTAAGTTTATACCCACAATTATGACGAATATTTCATATAACCCGATATGGAACCGATATTTTTTCTCCTGTGCGCGCGCGCGTGTCTATAACGTGGGCGGCAGAATTCCTGGATATCTTCATAAAACTGGTTCTGGAAATTGCAAATTAGTAAGAATAATTTGAACATTATGTTTTGCATCGATGTGTATGCGCGCGTACATGTGTGCGCGTGCGTGCGCTCATGTGTGTATGCGCGCGTACATGTGTGCGCGTGCGTTCGCTCATGTGTGTATGCGCGCGTACATGTGTGCGCGTACGTGCGTTTATGTGTGTATGCACGCGATATGTGTGCGCGTGCGTGCGCTCATGTGTGTATGCGCGCATACATGTGTGCGCGTGCGTTTGTGTGTGCGAGTGCACGCGCGCGCGTGTGCGTATGTGTGTACGTGTGCGTGCGTGTACGCGTGTGTGTTTGTTGTTGCATCAATATTCCTGATCATCAGATATGCTTCCGCGTGTTATTTCAGCACGGGGTCATTCTGACGGGCGATGAAGACTTCATCATTGAACCACTACGTGACGCCAGCCAGCATTTTGATGCTAACGCCTCACGCGATGAAGATGGCCAGCCACACATCATCTACAAACGATCATCCCTGCAGTCGCATCGCCACCGCAAACACGGCCACTGCGGCGTCAAAGGCACGTATAAGACTCCCTCGTTCACGTATGAAGGCGAGGACGATACGTCAAGATGAGGATTGCAGTTGGGATAAAGATTTAGAATGCGATTAAAATTACGATTAAAATTAGGATTAAGGTTCAGGTTAAGGTTAAGATTCAGATTCAGATAAGGATTATGATTAATATCAAGATTAAGATCCCGATAAGATTAAGATCAAGAATGAAATATTTAATTAATTCATTAATTTCATTAATTCATTAATTAAATCATTTGTTTCGTTGACAGATGCTTCCCGTCATCATCATCACAAGCTAAAGACGTCGCTATCCGCTAAGCCAACGACACGTCGGCAGCGAGCGGTAGGACGTCGGCGGAGGCGGCGGAAGCGGTCGGTGAGTCGGGAATATTTCGTGGAGACGCTAGTCGTCGTCGACAAGCGGATGGTGGGTTACCATGGCAACCAGGAGATCGAGCCTTACGTACTGACCGTGATGAACATCGTAAGTAAAGACGCCACGCTCATCGTGCCGTGTCTTATCGTATCGTAACGTATCGCAGAGTACCGTGTCGTATCGGATTGCATCGTAACGTATCGTATCGTGTCGTATCGTATCGTATCGTACTTAAAACCGAGAAAACGTCTAGCTATACTTAAAACCGAGAAGACGTCTAGCTATACTTAAAACCGAGAAGACGTCTAGCATATACTTAAAACCGAGAAACTGTCTAGCTATCCTTAAAACCGAGAGGACCTAGCTATAACTTAAAACCGAGAAGAACGTCTAGCTATACTTTAAACGACGAGCAAGACGTCTACGCTATACTTAAAACCAGGAGACGAACGTCTAGCTTATACTAAACGCGAGACACGTCTAGCTATACTAAGAAACCGAGAGGACGTCTAGGTCTATACTTAAAACCGAGAAGGACGTCTAGCTATACTTAAAAACCGAGAAGCATCGTCTAAGCTTATACTTAAAACCCGAGAAGTACGTCATAACTTATACCATTAAAAACCGAAGAAAGCGACGTACTAAGCTATAGCTTAAATACGCGAGAAACGCTAGCTATACTTAAAACCGAGAGGACGTCTAGCTATATCTTAAAATCCGAGAAGACGTCTATCTAATACTTATATATATTCTTCTATATATACTCTTAGCTATACTTAACCGAGAAAGAACGTCCTAGCTATACTTAAAAACCGAGAGGATGTCTAAGCTATACTTAAACCTAGAAGACGTCTAGCTTATATACTTAAAACCGAAGCGACGTCTAGGAACTATACTAAAACCGAGACGACGTCTATATCTTAAAACCGGAGAAGACGTCTAAGCTATACTAAAACCTGCGCAGAAGCACTCCTAGGCTATACTTTAAAACCGAAGAAGACAGTCTAGCTATTAACCTTAAAACGCGAGAAGACGTCTAGCATTACTAAATACCAGAGAAGACGTCTAGCTATACTTAAAAAGCCGAAGAAAGAGCGATACGTCTAAGGGCGTGATACCTTAAGAACGCGAGAGGACGTCATAGCTATACTTAATAACCGAGAACACGTCTAGCTACTACTAAATAAAACCCAAAGAACGCTCTATGCTATACTTAAAACCGAGAATACGTCTAGCTATGACTTAAAACCGAGAAGACGTCTAGCTATACTTTAAAACCTGAAGAGACGTCTAGCTATACTTAACCGAGAAGACGTACTAGCTTATACTTAAAACCGAGAATACGCTAAGCTATAAGCTTAAACCAGAGAGACGTCCTAGCTATACTTAAACCAGAGGATGTCTAGCTATATCTTAAAAACCTAGGAAGACGTCTAGCTATACTTAAAAGCGCGAGAAGACGTCTAGCTATACTTAAAACCGAGAAGACGTCCTAGCTATAACTCAAAACGAAGAAAGACTCAGGCATAATACTTAATAAACCGAGAAGAGCGTCAGCTATACCTTAAAACCCGAGAAGACGTCTACTATAGCTTAAAAGAACACGAGAAGACGTTCAGCTATACTTAACGACTCGAGAAGACGTCTAGCTATACTTAAAACCGAGAAGACGTCTAGCTATACTTAAAACCGAGAAGACGTCTAGCTATACTTAAAACCGAGAAGACGTCTAGCTATACTTAAAACCGAGAGGAAAGCGAGAGTAAAAACGCAATGCGGGATCGCTGAAAGTGACGAGATAAAAACGCGTGCCATTCTCGCGCGAGAGAAAAACGTAAAGAACAGAAAACCAGCGCGGCTGGGCGCGTGATACACCGCTAGCACACTAATCGGCGTCTGCTCTTTGATATGGTGCAAATCCGCGCGATTTTGCGGCAAACCGCCACGAACAATGTACGCATGCTTATTTTATGCACGTATTTACGTGTACGTGTTAAACTCGAACGCGTTAAATATTTTAGCAATGGTTTTCTTACACGCGCTCAGCGGGCGCTAGTCACTCATGCGCACGTTTTTCGAGTTGCGCAATGCAACTATTTGGGTGGTCGCTCCACGTCCAGTATCTCACGTAAAACCACTTTTGCGGTCGTTTTTACCGAGCATAGCAAAGGCGTGAACGACGGTAGGCATGAACGACAGTAAAAGAAGGCGTGAACGACAGTGAGAAGGCGTGAACAACAGTAGGCGTGAACGACAGTAAAAGAAGGCGTGAACGACAGTGAGAAGGCGTGAACAACAGTAGGCGTGAACGACAGTAAAAGAAGGCGTAAACGACGGTAAAAGAAGGCGTGAACGACGGTAGGCGTGAACGACAGTAAAAGAAGGCGTGAACGACAGTAGGCGTGAACGACAGTAAAAGAAGGCGTGAACGACAGTAGGCGTGAACGACAGTAAAAGAAGGCGTGAACGACAGTAAAAGAAGGC